ATTTGAGATACCTGATGTTAAACAGAAAGAATGGAAGTATTAATGCAAAGGGACGTGACGTCAGAAGCCACCAAAGGTGGAGGGGGATATTCAGGTTGGGCTCATTCCACAAATTCCTATTTGCCACCAGGCAGATCTGTTTACTTTTATTAATCTGCTTGGTGGTAATTGAGAGGAGGAGAGAATGGTTTCCTATTTCATTGCTAAGTGTCTTGATTTCTACTCAAGTATTCCCAGCACTGAACCCAGGCACCATGAACACCTACAAAGCTAGGGAAGAACAAACATTTTCCCTCGGTGACATGACTGGCTAATGTTAATGAAGGCATGGATATAAACCTAGAAAGTAAAGATAGAAGGGTTTATTAATGCTCCAGAAGGAACGTTTAACAAAGTTCCTAAAATGTGCTTTGCTAAAATGTTAAATTTATTTTCCTAATTATTCTGCATTCAAATATGCATACAAAACTATACACTATACTATTTAAACATTGAGGAAACCTAAATGTTAGATCATTAACCTAGGAAGATCCTTTATTTACTCTGGAATGAAATCTCAAATACATATTCCTGCTCAGGGTTAGAAGAAAGCAAAGTAAGTTCCAGTAACAACAGAAATCGTGCCCACCTTCAAAGATTTCTCTCTCGGGCATCCAAAAACAAATAAAAAACAAACAATTGTACTAAAATTAAATGGCCAGAAATATCCTTTTCCAACCCAAATCCATGAGGAGGAAGATGGCAACTTCTAAGAATGGGCAAAAGGACAATATATAGGTATTCCTTAAAGAGAAAATAAATGGTTACAAAATTTTCAAAATTTAAACAAAGAGCTCGTATATGGTGTACTATAAGAAAGCCTGTGGGAACAATGGTGATCAAGAAAGCACCCTCTCCTCGAAATAGCTACAGTGTACTATTGAGGGATTTCTGCCCTGCAATAAAGTAAAACAATCTACATTCTCCTGATGTCTTCCCCTCTTGCCAGGAAAGGTGACCGGACCCTTCCTAGGGTGCTGTCATTTTTTAGGTGTTAAAAGCTAGGGGAATTAAAACACTTAGAGGTCTAGGTAAGATACTTGAGTCTTGCTGAGGCACTACCCTGAAGTCCGAGAAGGGCACCCTGAGGTCAGGTCCTCTTGTACCCGTCCTTGAGAAGCAAAAAGCAGGGAAGGGGACAGTCCTCAGGCAAGGGAGCAGTTTCCATTTGAGAAGGAGACAAAGCAGGAGAGTGAAAATCCCCTCACTTGGTTATTCCTCTACTTATTCGTTTATCCATTCAAAAAATAGCTATTTAATGCTAAATAGAGGCCAACAGAGACTAGTAGCCCAGATGTGGAAACTTAAGAGAGATTCACACATCTTCTTCCATATTCTTATTTCAATATTTCATTTTAACCTCGGGTACATTTGAGAGCTTGAGATAACATTTTTGGAGGCTGAATGGAGAAAGAGAAGATTAGATGTGAATTAGGTTGTCAGGTAGACTGCCTGCTTAAATTCTGACTTTAAACTCCAGAAAACCGATGGGAAAAGGTTACCATCCGAACGACAGGTAGGCTTCTTACTCTCTATCCCTTATTGGTGTGGATTCTACTAACTTGGAATTCATAATAATACAAGCACAGCAGCCTGAAATTTCCCTTTATACTCTCTAGGAAGGAAAGTTCTATTAGAACAATTTTTGTTGCCCTTTATTATCAAGATAAAACTATCACAGAGCTCAGGTTTGAGAGAAATAATGGATTCATGATATATCTATTTAGTCTCTTGCTGAATTCCCCTGGGACAAAAGGTATTTGGAGTTTTGAAGCAAACAGTAAAATGTTAAGATTTGACAAAGCTAAGTGATGAGTGATAACAGTGCTTTTATATCATTCACCATACTTTTCTATTTGCTTAAAATGGGTTGACAAACTTCAGTCCATTGACCAAATCTGGCCCACTGCCTGTTTTTTTAAGTCTTAGAGCTAAGAATGGTTTACATTTTTAAAGCATTGGGTTGTCTGGCTGTTGGTTTGTCTTGTAAAGAGCAAATAAGACTACATGACAGAGACTGACCCATAAAGCCTAAAATATTTACTATCTTGCCCTTCACAGAAATGTTTGCCAATTCCTCACTTAAATTTTTCGTAAGATTAAAAAAAAAGACAAGTAGGAAGGGAACTGAGTCAAGGAAGAATGGTTTGTCTTCTTGCATTAAGCATCTTCCTGAATTAAACATTTTATATTATCTGTCTCTTTAAATTAGCTTTTCATTAATTACTTCTTCAACTTCTATCAAGAAGAAATCTCATCAAATTTTATTATATTCTGTGATATTGAAACTTATTTAAAAGAATGGCAGGAGACACTTTAGTAAGATTTTGACTTCAGTCCATTACTTGTCAAAAAACTGGGGAGCACATTTAGAGCCCAGTGTGGCATTTTAAGGTAGTTGTACCTAGATTGGGGGTCATGGGTGTTAGCCAGGGACACAGGACAGGTGATGCTCAGACACTTTCTACTTTATGCAGTCCATCTCTTTTTAGAGAATTTGTCTCCTTTTTGTCACAGAAGATAATGGGGGAAGAGGGTTGAGTAAAATTCAGAACACCGTATCACAGTGAGAGTTTCTGGTTATAATGGTTTTAAGACATTGGAATAGGTCATCAGAGAAAGTAGATGTTCTTCAATGAGCAGACAGGTTATTGTGAGGGAAAATAGCGAGATAATACCTTTAAATGTCTCAGTAGGCCTTAGTTCACAATAACTAATCACTCTTATGACATTATTATCATTTTGAAGTTGCTATGTAGGTATTTTCTTTCCTTTATAACAAACTATTAAGCACATCAGTATTGCCTGTGTCCTGCAATGTGTCACGCGCGAAAAAAACCACATGAAGGGATTTCTCTTACTTTTGTGATAATTCCAAGTTTCTCCCCTAGTGTTGACCCAAAACTAAAGATATTACCACCTGTGAACCAACAAATGAGGAGATTCACACAAAGTAATTTCACAGAAATGCTCAGGGAACATCTGCAATATTTAGAACCAAATAATCACTTAATAACCTTATTAAGTACGTACTGTTTTAAACTTCAGTGTTGCTAGTAACTAAAAATGTCCACAGAAGAACAGCAGCAATAAAACATACAGATTAAGTATCCCATATTCAAAATGCTCAAGACCAGAAGTGTTTTAGATTTAGAATTTTTTTTGATTTTGGAATATCTGCATATTCATAATGAGATACCTTGGGGATGGGGCCCAAGTCTAAACATGAAATTTATTTGTTTCATATATACACACAGCTTGAAGGTAATTTTACACAGTATTTTAAAGAATTTTGTACGTGAAACAAGGTTTTGATAGCGTTTTGACTGTGACCTGTCACAAGGTCAGGTGCAGAATTTTCCACTTGTGGCATCATGTTGGTGCCCAAAAAGTTTCAAATTTTAGAGCACTTTGGATTTTGGATGCTCAACCTGTACCACAGAAAGAAAGATTCATCTGATTTTTTTCCCAGTTTTTCCCCTGCTCAAATGAAACTTGTAATGAGAAGCCTAATATGTAACTTGCATTTTAACTTGGTCACATAAATGGCATCTCAAATATCCAATTAGTTTTTTAAACAATTACTATGTAATATTTAAGAATATAAAAAGCATAAAGAATAACACAACAAAATAGTTATGGATCTACTACCCAGATTATGAAGTAAAACATGACTAATACTATTCAGGCCCCCTGTATGCCCTTCCTCAGTTGCATTTCCCTTCCTCCAGGATTAACCATTAACATTGGATTTTGTGTATCCATGTATTTCTTCATACTTTTTGTAAAAATGTATATATCTCAAAATGATTCACATCCTTATTTTACCACTTGCTTTTGTCGATTTGGCTTTATGTCTGAATTCGTACATGTTGATACATATAGCTCATTCATGTAGTAGGTGCAGTGCTTAACAAATATTCCACGTACTTTTCTATGTTTCTCAGATTTTAGGTTGGGAATCACTGGACTGTGAGCAGAAATGAAGTGTGTCCAAGTTTGGGACAAGGCAGTTAAAAGCATCACCCTTTGTTCCCCTCCTTCAGTGAACTCAAAAGCCACATATTCCAGATGAGTTAATGGGCAGCAGTGAGAACATGGAGCCTCCATCAGACTGGGTCCTTGAGTGAAGTAGAGCAGAGCCTCTTGCTAACCCATGTTGGACTTACAAAATGAACAAGGAATAATCTTGGTGTGCTACGACACACATATGTAAATAAAATGGGAAGACAACTGCCTTTCTGGGAGTATTCAAAAGCAGTACTTTCAGTAGGGGGATGGATTAAAAACTTTTGAAAACACTTCTATGATTCTAGATTGATATTTATTCTCAGGTGCCTGGAGAATCAAATCTTACCCTTTAGTCTTTACCTTCTTTGAAGGCCTACTGTTACGACAATGCTTTCAGAATGGTGTTCACATGTTCATAAACTGTTTCAGACATTGTCAGTTTTGTCTCTACAAGTAGATTTTAAGATCTCTAAGAATCATGTCTTCTCTTCTTTTGTACTCTACACTAACCTTACACAGGTCTACACAGGCATGCAGTAACAACCGGTCTCTTGGTTGGCTGGGGAGGGTGAGGACTAATATTAAATGCTTACTTTGTGTAAGGAACCTTGCTTATATTTTACACGAGTTATTTTGATCCTTATTTCCACCATAAAGATGAGGATATTAAAGGTAAGTAATTTTCCTTTGGTCACAGAGCTGGGAAGATGAAGGGTATGGGGAGGGTAGTAGAAACCAGTCTGAGTCTAAAGTCTGCTTTTTTCTTTTTTTATATATTATCTTGTAAAATCTTTGCTTTTTACTAACTCTGAGCTGAGTGAGATCATTCCTAGAGCAGGGCAGGAGCTTTAGTAGAACAAAAAATGGCTAACAAATTTTTCTTTATAAAATTTTCAAACACTAAAACATTTTTTAAAGAGTTCCTAGGACTCAAAATTGTTAGGGCTTACCTTGATCACCTCTGGAGTCTGCTGAATCAAAACTGCTGAAGTAGTATCTTTGGCTTTATCACCAACAGGACTTCTACAGACTGATAAATTGGCCCGGGAGGAAGTTGTCAAGGTTTCCTGCAGAATTTGCATCATTTCCTTCTCTTGTGATAGGCTCCCTCTGCTTGATTTGCATTCAACTAGTTCTTGAGCAAAGTCTTCAATGCTTTCCAGAATTCGCAGTAAGAGGGCTCGATCCTCTTCCTCTATTTTGTGTCCATTGGTTTCAATAATCCTTGTTAGACAGGAAGGCGAGACTTTTTCTATGGGTGAAGAGACTTTAGATTTAGGCTCAAGATCTACAAGGGTCTGACCAGTCAACTGACTGTGACTATTTAAAGAATTAGAGTTTTTACTCTTTGCAAGTGGCTCTCTTAGAGAGGTCTCCATCTTCTGTGAAAAAGATTCCAAATCCATTAACAATTTATCTATCTCTTCTTGGCTACTGGAATTTGTAGAATCTCTCTGGTCTCCCTCTTCAACTTTAGAAACTTTTGATTTACAGCCCTCCTTAGGTAGATGAACAAATGATTTCTCAAATATCTTACCAATTTCATTTTGCATTGAGGCGGGGCATTTTTTAAGATGAGAAGCATGTTCTGGAAATTCTGCTCTATGTTCATGTATCTTTAATAACTCATGACTAGGTCCATTCTCTGTCTTTTGTCCTTTATCTAATGCTTTCTTTCCATCTGACTCTTCTTCGATATAAAGAGTTTCCATTAAGTCACTAGAAGAAACATTTTCTAAAGGGTTCATGGTTAATGACTGTGATTGAACCCGGACAGCTTTTAGAGTTCTAGGATCATTTACCTCTAAGTTATATAAGGAATTTGTGGAGTTGTTTGGAATGGATTGTACAGTGTCCATCTTCCTAGAATTAGGCTTGTCATCTTGCAATTCAATAGTTTGAAATTGTCCAGAGTCAGAAGCTGAGAGCTGGACAACATCTTCATATTTAGGGGGTTGTTCAGTGCCAAACACTGGAGAGAAGGGAGTCAGCTGTAAGCTAGGCATATTACTGATCAGTTCTGTTAAATCTAGAGCCTCATTATTCCCAGACTGCATGAATTCAAATGGTAATTTTTTCAGATAGGATGCTAACCTGGTCATTACATTCATATAGACAGTTTCAGAGCTAGAAAATGTATCATTACCACTTCCTTCATTGATGCTACTCCCTGACTTTTTCTTTATGCATTGTTTTATGATGTCTGTGCATTTTTTTAAATCCTCAGAGCATTTCAATAGGATGTCCAAGCACATCTTTATGTCTGTCCCAGAAGAAAAATTATCTATTTTATGTTTTTCCAAAATCTGAGTAACCAAGTCTTCTTCAGAGAAGTTTTGAAGAAACATGGAAGTCAAGTTCGTATCAAGTGAGTTTCTATGAGATAAAGGTTTTTCCTCAACTGAAGAACTCCTCAGTAAACCAAAGGATGGGGCGTTCCCATCATTGTTATAATGGCCACAAAGCAAGTCCAAATCAACTGACCTCCTATTAAATGAGTCAGACTTAACTTTCCTTCCCTTTCTGTAAGCTGCATGGTTAGAGTTTTTGAGTTTTTCAAGGGAAAATTCTTTTATTTTCCCACTGGCAAAACTGATTGCTTCTCCTGCAATGTCCTTTAAGTTGCAGGTATTCTGAAATGTAGATCCTCTCTTGACCCTGGGTATGCCTGTGAAGGCCTGTTGGGGATAGTCTCCTTCAGTCGAGCAAAGCCCATTTTCTTGGGGTAGAAACATAGAGTTCAGATCTGCATCTTTGAACTGAGACACAGGGATGTGCAAGAGGTCTGCACAAACACTATGGTGTACCACAATGCAGTCAACTCCATGTGTGAAGGTGTGGCAGGTTCCAGTGCAATAATGTATAGCTTGTTCAAAACGCCGGTCTATCACCACACTGCTGTAGTGGTTCACAGTACTAACCACAAGTCTGTAAGTTGCTGCCATAATATCAAATCCACTTACTGGTGGGACTTGGAACTTTCTAGAACTTGTTTCATGAAAATTCTCCTAAATGACAATTAGCTGAAAATATATTTAATAACAATGTTCAGTGGTTTCTTCCAAATATAATGGCTTTTCCCATGAAGGGAAATCATTTATATTTGACGTTTGGTAACTATCAGCATACAGTAGCTGCTGCACATGTGTGCTTGTACTGGCAAATTTAATAATTTAATAATTGTGCTTTTTCATTTTATTTAGTAATATGATACTGCAGAATTATTTTGATGAAAGAACATCCTCTTTTAGTTCTTCAACAGTTCCATAGCATGGAAGTTTGCTGTCATAAATTTACTATCATAAATCTTAGTTGGTAGCAGAGAAGTATTGTGATAACTGAGTCCTCCAAGGGTTTAAATGATCCATTTTTCTGTGAATGACAGAGAAACCTGTAATAAAAAAGAAAATAATTAAAAGGAAATATTATTTTTAATGCTGGAACTTTTAATTTCCTCTTTCTTTGCATCCCATATGCAGTTAACCACCGAGCCTTATTATCTGCAATATCCCTTACAGCTGATATTCAGCTCACGCCTTTGTTTCATCACACCTTATACTCCTTATTGCCTAGAGTAATATTACCTCAACTCTACCTTGTCACATCTACCTCTGAGATGGATTTCTTATTGCATGCTCCTTGCCACCTTATATGATACTAAGCTTAGATTTACATGGCATTTTCATCCCTCACAGCTTAAGAATTCACATTTCTGATCTCCTCATGGATCACAGCAAGTCTACCTCTTTTAGACTCACTTTTAAGTCCCTCAACACCTGTTCCCATCCATCTATAATCATATTTTCTACTATGTCCCTGCACCAACCTTTCGCTTCCATCAACCTAGTCTTCTCAAAGACTACCAACACCTAGTACCTGTTCTTGAGTCTCAAATTTCCTTTATCCTTAGAAATTATTCTCCCATCATCTTCTCTTTGCTTACTGAGAGAAAAAACAGGTTTCATTACTGATCTTGATCCCATCTCCCAGATCCTGCCCCATGCGGATATCTCTCTCTCTCTGCATCAAGTGGACAGAAGTGACTTAATCATTCTCTTACAAAAAAACGGCTTTTAAAATATACTATAGTTGCTTTCCAAGAAGGTTCTGTCAATGTATTTATTCAGTCAACAAATACTGGCTACCTACTGTGTGTACCAGGCTCTTTGTATACACTAGGGATAAAGCAGGAAATAAAACACGGGGAAAAAACCCAATATACAAGTTAAACATATAAACTTACATGGTGGCATGTGTTGGGAGAAAAACAATGCAGGGCAAGGGTTTAGAAACACTGGGAGGGTTCTGTTTTATGAAGGGTTGTCAGAGAAGACCTCACTGACATCTGAAGAGCAGAGACCTGAAAGACTAGAGGAAGCAGGCCAAGGAGATATTATGAGGTAAATCCTCCAGGGCAGAATAACCGCAAGTACAAAGGCCCTAGAGTGGAGCATGCGTGATTCACTAAAAGAATGGCAAAGAGACCAAAGTGGGTGGAGCAGAGAAAGCAAGGGGACAATGGGAGATGACATGGCCTGCAGTCCCAGCTAATCGGGAGGCTGGGGCAGGAGAATTTCTTGAACCCAGGAGGTGGAGGTTGCAGTGAGCCGAGATCATGTTACTGTACTCCAGCCTGGGTGACAGAGCGAGACTCCATGTCAAAAAATAAATACATACATACATACATACATAAAAATAAGTAAATAAATAAAAATCTGATGAACTTTTCATGAGTCATCTTGCTGAGAAAGAAAAAGGGGATGGGGTAAGACTTAAAAGAACGAATCACAAATTTAGGTCTTTGAGTATGTTTTGAAAGGACATCAACAGCAGAAAATCAAACCTCAAGGGGTGGCACCAATGACCAATGAGAAATTTACAGTCTAGTATTCCATGGTGTATATGTGCCACATTTTCTTAATCCAATCTGTCACTGATGGACATTTGGGTTGATTCCAAGTCTTTGCTATTGTGAATAGTGCCGCAATAAACATACGTGTGCATGTGTCTTTATAGCAGCATGATTTATAATCCTTTGGGTATATACCCAGTAATGGGATGGCTGGGTCATATGGTACATCTAGTTCTAGATCCTTGAGGAATCGCCATACTGTTTTCCATAATGGTTGAACTAGTTTACAATCCCACCAACAGTGTAAAAGTGTTCCTATTTCTCCACATCCTCTCCAGCACCTGTTGTTTCCTGACTTTTTAATGATCGCCATTCTAACTGGTGTGAGATGGTATCTCAATGTGGTTTTGATTTGCATTTCTCTAAAGAATGAGTTTGTGTCCTTTGTAGGGACATGGATGCAGCTGGAAACCATCATTCTTAGCAAACTATCGCAAGAACAGAAAACCAAACACCGCATGTTCTCACTCATAGGTGGGAACTGAACAATGAGATCACTTGGACTCGGGAAGGGGAACATCACACACCGGGGCCTATCATGGGGGGGGGAGGGGGGAGGGATTGCATTGGGAGTTATACCTGATGTAAATGACGAGTTGATGGGTGCTGACGAGTTGATGGGTGCAGCACAGCAACATGGCACAAGTATACATATGTAACAAACCTGCACGTTATGTACATGTACCCTAGAACTTAAAGTATAATAATAAAAAAAAAAAAAAGAAAAAAAAAAAAACAATTAAGTAATATTTTACCTTCAGGGCAATACCATATTGCAAATTTTGTACAACACAATGAGGGGGGATTTCTTACTACCCCTCCAGTGCCTGAGGCAATTTCCAAAAATTAAGCTCAGATTTTTGAGTTGGGAGGGGAATAAAAATTATGAGGGTCCCTCAACACACCACTGGGCCCTGCACAGAGCTGGAGAGATGGAGTGGCAGTAGCAGGGCTCGGTTTGGTGCCTGATTCCTTCTAACTATCTTCTGGCAATATCCGTGACTCATTGCCAGCTTCTTCTGTGCTAGCAGAAAGTATCCCAAATGCCGGAAGATTGACAGGCTTGTCCCATTTATAAAACCCATGGATGTCTTCTAGCACATAGCACAGAATGGTGTTTTGCTCTTGAGTGAACAAGAAGCCCAAAAGCAGATTGGGAGATATCTTTTCTTTCTGGTCTTCCTACTCACAGGGAGCCCTGTGGATTAATGGGTTGTTTTTTCATAATTGGTGATCAATTTCAATTTTCTTTGACCCAGATACACTCCCCTCATCAATGGCACACATAATTGTTGGCTGGAGTTGGGGTAAAATCCATGCTCCGTGAGCCACGCTGGTAGTCTTATAATAGACCTCCATTTTGCTTAAGCTAGCTGGAAAGAATTTCACTTAGTTACAGCTAAAATAGTGTGAAAACTAAGGTTACCATGCCAATTTATTGTTTGCATTAGTGGATTAACTATTTTTGGAACCTCCTAATGACTTTGAATAAATTGTATTTGATAAGAGTAATGAAAATGAAAAAAAAAAAAAAAAAGAAATTTACAGTCTAAAATAATTTGAGTTAAAAAAAAAAAGCACCAAAGCATCAAAGATTACTTTCCCTGCTATTTGTTTCAGACCTATGGGTGTAAAATTCTGCCTTTTTATTCAGACCATAATTCAATTGATGCCCAGTTAACCAGATGGAATCTTAGACATGGAATCTAATCCACTATTTTCAGTCAGAGATCCAACCTAACTCAGAAGCACCATGCTATCCTGCGTCTAAGAGAAAGTTAGGCTGCATGGGTTTGAATCCCAATCCTGCCAGTGTGGCCTAATATAAGCTGGTTAACCTCGTCAGTCTGTTTCAACAGCAAAATGGAGAGAATAATAACATCCATCTCATGAAGATTAAGTTAACACATGTTAGATGCTTACAACAATACCTGAGACTCAGGAAATGCACAATAAATGTTATTGCTGTTATTGCTCTGATTCACTTATTAAACATTCCCTACTCTGTGCCAGACCCTGGGAGAATGTTGCCAAATGACATATAGTGATGGTCTTCAGAGTGCTCAACGTTTAATGAGGGCAGGGACAGAAGCAAGCAAGCACAGCAGCTATCAGGAGTGAGATCAAGTTTCTCCCATTTTGCTCCCACAATTAATAAATGTTCTTTTCAGAAAAGTTGGACAATATTCACTAGCAGAAATAAACACTGTTGATATTCTTATGGATATACTTTACCTTTCTCTTACGAAAATTTATAAATGTATATATTTTTTACAAAATTTGGACCATACTATAACTTACTTTGACAGTATCTCATAAATGTGCTTCCATGTCAAAACAGACACAGAGCATTTTAATGAATATTCTATCATATAAACAAAATTATTTAGTCATTTCTTATTGCTGAACATTTAGGTTATTTACTCATTGTTTTCAAATGAGCAGTGATAAACATTCTTTTACATATACTTTACATAGCTCTTCAGTTATTTGCGTATAATATATTCCACATAGTAAAATGTTGAGTCAAAAGATGTATATATATATGTGTGTGTGTGTGTGTGTGTACATATACTTTTTCAAAAAAGGTCATTAGATACACAGGGCCAATCTAGAAAAGGGCCTGTTTCTCCATGTTTTCTTGGACTGATTCCTTTCTTTAAATTTTTGGTAATTTGATCGATGAAAAAAACAGAATTAACATTGTTTTGATCTTCATTTCCTTGATTGCTGGTAAGCCTGAATATCTTCTCATTTACCTATTAGACATTCTGTCATTGTTCACTTGTGAAGCCTTTCTTCATGTCCTTTTTCTGTTTTGAGAGGGAGCATCTGAATCAGACTGAGGAGTCAGGAAAAGCTTCCCAAACTATAGCGATGTAGGTACATAATTTTGAAGGATTAACGAGAGCTACTTAGACAAAAAGGAAGGGAAGAATACTCCAGGTAGAGGGAAACACATATGTGAAGGCAGAGAGGCAGAACACTGCACAGTGAGTCCCGAAGCACAAGTAGTTCCAGCTAGTTTCACTGGGGGGCGTATAGAAACAAGCAAGAGGGCAGGAAAAAAAGAGCAGCAGCAGCAAAAGCCAACCACAGTTAGCCTTTGTGTGCTAAACTAAGGAGTCTGAACTTTATTCTGAAAGCTATGAGAAAAACAAAGACTTTTAGGCTAGAGAGTACCATGATGAAATTTGTTTTAGGAAGATTACTGTAGCACCTGAGTGGAGGATAGATAGGAACCAGACTGAAGACCTAGAAATCAATTAGGAGGTTATGATAATAATCTATGCAAGAAGTGATGAGAATCTAAACCAAGTAGGTGACAGTAATAACAAAGAGGAGGGCACTGACCAGCCCAGGAGGAAGAGTCCATAGAACAGCAGGAGGGGAAAGTGACAGGGAAGAATCTTAGGTTTCCGGCTTAAGTACTGGGAGACTTGTCTTGCTACTCCCAAGACAGACTTTTTGTTTTTGTT